CCCCCCCCCCCACAAACCGTCCTTTTTACCCCAGTAAACAACATCAAGGCACCAACTCATTAAACCCTCTCACATCTGACAGCCGCTGTGTGTGTCCTGCTGTGTTTATTGTCTATTTGAACTGTTTTATCTCCAGGTGTTGGCGCTGTCGTGCCTAGAGACACTGACAAGGTAATGTTATATGTTTCGGGTTTTTGTGTTGATGTTGGTTTTTTTGTTTGTTTTTTTTTAATGTTGGGCGGAGAATGGGGATGTTTAGTATAAATAATAGCGTTTCTCAAACTGTGGTAAATGTACCCCCTTTGGTAAATTAGTTTGTTCCGAGTGGCGCACAAATAAGGAACCACAATTAATGTAAATACAAAGTGGATCATAAAGTAAGCATTATAGAATATGCGCATGGTGGTACACACTTTTTTATCCGTTGATTTAAACGGCACACTATTTAAAAAAAAATTGAGAACCACTGCGATGGCTTTTATTCAATATTCAAAGGGCTGAGATAGTGCCCCAAGGTTCGAACTAGGAAGGATTGTTTACTGACTGAAGTTTCTTTCGCTGTTTAGTAATCTTACAAAGTTAATTTCAGGGATATATGATTATTTAAAAAAAAATTAATTCTATTTCAATTAATTTTAAATTATAATATCAGATAATCTGATTGTTATATCACAAGCTTGTAGGGGGTAATGGCCCCACGCCCCATTCTCACTCCCCGAGGTCTCCCGGGGGTGGGACAGGTAGGGAGAGAGAGGTGTGCTATTCTGGTCAGGGAAACTTAGTTTTCGCTACAGTAAAAAAAAAAAAAAATAATAGGAAAGGAATGTTAGTGAAACTTATTTTCATGACCAAGAAAAAAACAAACAAAACAAACAAAAAAAACGAAAATTTTCAGGCTAAATTTCTATATTCTAAAAGGATAATTTAGCTGTTCTAAATCCTAGAAGTACTTATCTGTTCTAGATTCTAGAAGTACTTTGTTGTTCTAAATGTATTTAGTTGTTCTAGATTCTAGAAGTACTGAATTGTTCTGAAATCTAGAAGTACTTAGCTGTTCTAGATTCTAGAAGTTCTTAGTTGTTCTAAATGTATTTAGTTGTTCTAGATTCTAGAAGTACTTTATTGTTCTGAAATATAGAAGTACTTTGCTGTTCTAGATTCTAGAAGTACTTAGTGGTGGTATTTATCATTGTAAAATAAACTAATTTGATCAATGGTATGCGTTATGTAAGAGGATCCAGATTTTCTAGAAAGACCTGGGTTTCCTAAGTCTAATCTGAATAAAAACAAAGGGACATAAGATGTATTTTTAAATTCTCATATAACTCATTCCATCAATATGGTGATTTGTATTTTACGTTTTCCCCCCCAGGTGTCTGAACTGAGATATAAGGTGAGAGATTAACTTTGTCTGCCCTTGTTTACAATTGACTTCCGATGTCTCATGTTGAAAAAAGCATTGGCGAACTTGGCAAGCAACCAAATGGAATACAATAATGTCTTGAATTAAGGAGACAATCTAGGACTAGGACTGCCAAGTACCAGACACATGCGAAGCGTGTGGCCGGCTTGTCAGATAGGCATTTTTAAGGCCATATTCCTCAAATTTGGATTTTTTTTCCCAAGCCGTTGCCCGAGAAAATTTGCGCTTGGCTTATTCCTGACCTATTTTCTTCTTTTTTTTTTTTTTTTTTTCTTTAAAAAAAATTTCAATAATTTCCCTTTTTTATTTTTTTTTAAATATGCAAATAAAAATTTAAAAAAAAAAAATAAAAAAAAAAAAAAATAAAAAAAAAAAGTTT